GTGACCGATACAGTGTGCTCGGAATGTTATGAACTTTCCGAATGACGTAAATGGTAGTTTTAAAAAAGGGTATTAACAAATGGGACAATGAGAAGAAATTGTTTGTGTACTTTCTCTCGCAACACAACTACCCTTTTCACACCGTGTTCCATCAGTTTTATATGCATCACTGCACGTAAATAGGTGATTCCATGTAGAAATAATGTCTACCATTTCGATAAGCCGTATCGTGTAAGTTCTTCAGATATTACTAATGGATTTTGTGTGGGTAGAAGTGAGTATTTCAGATAACAGCATAATTCATTTGAAATGTTCTTGCGAACAATTTTTTTAATTCCTCTGTCAATTCTTAAGTTCATAAAACCTAAGTCTACAGTAAAAATCTATAAAAAATCTTGTTCGAGTATTTCAGTAATTAAGTTACATATATGTATAATAATATAATTAAGCGATTTTAAGAAAATTTATTTGTGTAGTTAAGAAATCTGACAAAAAGTATTTATTTGTGAAATCATAAAAGGTTAATGCAAGTATTTGTCATTCAAAAAACTTACCACATTACACATGTGACGATACAAATTTTTAATTGTCTTATTGCTTCTGTAAACTATATCGTATACACTTTCATTTCTTCTATAAGGTGTCCAGCTACTTTGATGTCGTGTCAATGTCATTATTATTGGTATTTCTGAATATACCAGTTCACTGTAATTGAATTTCGTTTGATTTTCTTCCTTTGAGTTGATTGAAGCTACGTTTAGCAACGATTTTACAATGTTATCCCAACTGTGGTTCACAATTTGTTGCACAATAGTTTCCAGTCTAACCTCATTTAACGCTTGAATCGACAATGGAAAAATCCATTAACCGTGCTGGCATATTGTTCCATTTCCTATATTATATTCTTTCGGTTTTGGAAAGCGTGCTTTGTTGTTTGTACATTCGCCATCGATTAATGCAGTATTATTATCGGAAATTCGTTGCTGTTGTTTGATTGATATGATGAAAATAGCATGAAATACGTACCATTGTTCTCCATTCTGTGTCCACATACATAGGTACTTCTAAAATGCTTACCTTGTCGTTTTACCGAAACTGAACCACTGCAATTGGTCTACCTAAATGTCTCATAGAAAACGGAACTGTTTTACTTGGGGACCATTTTCCTCGGTGCAGTAGTATATTTGAAAACATAATTACTTAGAAGAAAGTTGAAAGCTTTACGTGAATTAAGTTAATTACATATTGTCAAGAAACGACCGTCAACGTTAATGAGGAGGTAAAACGAACTGGAAAAATATTCTGCTAAGTAAGATAGAAATTTTTGAGACGCTAATTGTGGTATATTACAACTTCATAAATAGTAGTTGTAACTTGTATTGAACCATCATAAAAATTCATTTTCCAACGAAGAATTTCTGTCTACAAATGTAATATTTGAGAAAAACTGCAGGCTTGCACCTTATCAATTTTACTCCAATATGTTGATAACAATTTCCAATACGTTTTTATAGTTTATCGTAAGCTCACCTTTCGACTATACAAAGAACTTTAAATTATATATATAATATTACTTTGAAACAAACATCAATGTTCCTCGAATAATCCTGACAAAAGAGTCAAAGAATCGTAGTATTACATTCATCGTTTCCAGCAATGTGATTTTTCTCTTTGACGTTTCCTCCTGTTCACATACTTAGCAATGATATTTCATTGTTCGATTTCTCATAACATTCTGTATACATCGTACATAACAAAATTGGTACCAGATGTATACATATAGTCAGGTAACGAGGCTCTTTGACTCTGGCGTGTCTTCAGGAAACAAAAGGTCTCGAGGACAATAAGTTGCAGTGTGACCTTCTATTTTGTTGATCGTTGACGCCGCACGAGGCTCACAGTTTCACGAAGTTTTTTTGGTTTACGTTTTATAAACAGGCCGCGGCTTATTGTCCAAAACAATGTGCACGCACGCGTTCGCGATAGATCGGCTGTTTAAACAGCGCGAGCACGTTCGAATGGTATCAACGTGCTCGAAGGGGACGAAGCTTTCAAGATATTTGCAGGTGAAGGCAAACACAGTATATCTCGCTCGTCCATTAAGCAAATGATCGATGCCTTTTGTCGCGAATGAACGTCCTCGCGACAATATTTCCATGCGATGTGTCATTGTTTCTGCTCGATTCCTTTCTCTTTTTGTTCTGACACGTAATTTCGTCAGAGACGTTCTTTCTTTTCCATGGCACAGCGGACGACAACCTTATACTTCGCGACGATAAAGCAATTGTCGCGTTCCCACGAAGAAGGCTATAAAGATCATAAAATACTACTTGTATTATTAATAAATTATTTATCTAAAATAGTACTTTGTATTTGAAATTTATTTCAAAAATCTTGAAAAAAATCCAAAATTAGAGTTAGACACTTTGGCCTTATACCGAATCATATATCCTGTCTACGTAACATCGGACACGTATGTATTATGTTTAATATGTAAAACATTGTTGATGACAGTTTCTGACATCTATAGCTTTATTTAAATTTGAATAATTCTAGTAATTACATAACGAGTACATTTTTCAGTGAATTCAGTTTCACGTAAGAGAAGGTGGCGGCCGTATTGGTAACTGTAAGCGTAAAGACGGTTACCTTTCATATTTCTAGTAACATTTGTCTGATTAAATAACAAGTTAACCAACAAAGTATAAATGTGTGTATTTTCTTTTTCCATGGATAATCACCTAAATTTATTCACAGGATATAAATATATCAATTTCTTCTTATTTGTCATATAATCACCGAAATGTTGTACCAATTACTCTGTAGTGGAATTCGGGTATTTAATTAAGAACTTATTTTAATCACGGTTATATTCTATACGTTGATTAATATCATTTTGCATTATCAATGTTCAATATTATGACATTACGTGGATGTTGACATTGCCATGTAATTTATCATACCATTAACGTTACAGTCGCGACTTCCATATTATTTTCAGTCCAGTTTCCCGTGTTTTGTATTCATGTACATTTATAAACGTGACTGGTGTTGAAATCACCATAATAATTCCCTCGTAAAAACGAATTTTCTTCGCCCAGAACGAACGTGCAGTCAATCGTACACTAATGTGTTTAATTATTTTGTCAAAATTTTACTGCACTATCAGTTGATGGTTATTTTGGCACATTAGTGACGGTAAATATGAATTTGCGATTTTTATTTTCGAAGAGTTGATGATGGGGAGGCAGCATTTCACGTTATAAAATATTTTTATTCGGATAATGAAGGGGCAGTCAAGCATGGATTTATTACATAATTTCCGAACATGTATAGGAATTACTGCTATATTCAATGGCTGTCAAAAGTTTCCGGTCAAACAGTAATTTCAACATATCTTCTTAAAAATATATAATACCAATAAACTCTTGACACATCCTTATTAAGGACACATCGCTTCTTCAGATTTAGTGATATTACAAATTTTATTGTATAAAATTAATCTGTTCTCCTGTATCTAACAATACGTACCTGACAAATATGTCAAAAATATGGGAAATCAGAGCTTGGCCGGAAATTTTTGACAGCATACCGTCGACAATGTATTAAATATGAATAAATACATGAATCAACACGGGGATCACGATGAGAAGTTGAAAAATTTATGCACGATGGCAAAAAGATGCGGATAAATTAATTATTTTGTTCTTGTTGCCGCTCAAGTAGGTGGGACCACCATGAAAATATAATTTCCGCAGCTTTTTATTCCGCGACGAGAAATTTGCATAACCGCGGCCGGGATAATAATTAATCCGTCACTGTCACATAGTGAATTTAAATGGGCAGGAAGTGGGTCGTTTAATTTAAATGCTTGCACAAGGAATGAACGTGTCGACGTCCGAGTTACATCGTGATTAATATCAAACTAGGCTATTTTTCACGGACACGCTCGATCATGCGAAACGCGGGACGCGGACCTAGTTCCGCGGTTAAAATGAGACATTGACGGGTCTTCCCAGATCCAGGTCATTTCAAATTGAATTTTCAAGCTGGATAACCTTTTTACCTTATTTCATTTTTATATATTATTTTATTTTTCGTGTACATTGTCACGCAAAACTTTCGACCATCCCTCTTTGTTTGAATAAAATAAGATTTCTTATATATGTATTAATTTTATTAAAAGCATTACATATTAAGAAAGCATTGCTTTTGTATAATACGATTGGGCATTACGACGATCATTATAATGTAAATATTCTTTGCAACGTATGTTCTTCAAAAACTTCAGGGGGCTTCTAATTCTGAAACGACAACGGAAGTGTCTTTTAGATCAGTGTTAATATATATAATTACTCGAAGATGTACACAATTGGATGAAGTGTATGGAAAAAAGGTTTTTGTTTAAAAACTGTACAACTTCGAATCGCTAAAAATAATATATGTAGATATGTTAACGGTATTGGACGCCTTAATATAGAATAAAAAAGAACTAGCTTTAGTTAAAATGTTTCAATTTTCATATTATGATAAATGTCGGTAGATTTTGTATTGTTATTATTATTACCAGTGCTAAAATGTTCCTACTGCTGCCCTGTACATGAAAAAATATAAACAGCACGCCGAATATTATTTCAAGTTCGACGGGTCTCGACCAAACAGTTACCAAACAGATCCATCGAAACAAAACTGACCCCACTAGTGTTTACAAAAATCACCCCACCAAATACTGTTTCGGGACAGTATTGAATGAGAGTTCGGACAATACGGTCGGGAGTTGGAATTTCCAATTTTTGCATTCATAGCTTTTCATATTCATGTAGTGTACTTAAAGTGGTTTATCGTAGTTTAAACAAATTTATATCGTGGATGTATCATTTAGTAATTTTGGTTAAATTGAACACAGTAAAATATTTCAGTTGTAAAGATTTCTTTGTCTGGATATAAGTGATGGAATTGGATTGATGTGACAAAACGTTTTGGGATTTGTAAAGGGTATTATCATTTTATTTTATAAGAAGTTCTGATGGTGTGTGCAAGAACAGTGTTCAGTAGTGTTGGAAGTGTTGCTCCTCGTGTATCGTCATCCACCGTTACAAGGTATGTTATAATAATGTAATGACTGAATTTTGTTAGTACATGAAATTACTAAAATTATTAATAGTTACATTATTTATCGATTAACGTGGACGCAATCGTGTAATATTTAACTGGAATCGAAATCCAATTGAGTAGGAATTTATTAAACAGAAAGTAAAATGAAGACTTCGTTCGTCTCGTTTGAATTTTTCAATTCTTTCATTCAATGGTAACAGAAGCGATATGTTTAGGTACTCCTTATGGTTAAGGGCATTTTTGAAGCTACTGCTTTTGTTATATCAACTTCTAGGTAGAAAATGGAGAGAACAGTTTTATTATTATTTAGACGTTTTATAACATTTCTGATTTTGACGGCAATTGCAACTATTCAACATTACAAGTGAATAATTAATGCAAAATACATTACAATGCAATGATTTATTAAGAATATTCAAAGTATGTGTTTATTATTTTTTCTTTATAGCCGTATCAATTATCAAAGTTGATTAAATTGTTCCGTTATGAGAGCTGTAATGCTTAATACAACGAGATCGGTAATTATCAATAAATTGGATGTTTATTAATCTTCACTAACTGTATGATAAATTTTCAATGATATAAAATTGAAGAGCGGGAGTCTGCCGGCCGAGTTCCCGCGGTAACGTTGGCTACCAATCGCAGCGCGTAGCTACGGACTGGTGATCCAACAGACTCGCTTTCTGGTTGGTCGGGATTTTTCGTTAATATCTCGTTAACAAAGTATCGGATAACATTTTTGCTAAGGAAAAACTTGTTTCAAATCACCTAACGAGCCCGTCATTTCCGAGTCCTCCAACGTTTTTGTTACACCCTGTATAATTCGCGAATCTGTTTACTTCCACGGAACAACGCTCCGCTACAACGCACACGGTTCAGCCCCTTTGTCTTCTATAGATCGCATCCGGTCGGTCGGAAAGAGATCGAAAGCAGAAAGTGCAATGTTTTCCATGAAACTGGCAAAGAGCAAAGGGGCCAAAGTGGTATCGCGAGAAAGTTACGCTCGTGTTCGAACCGCCGCCGAACCCGGAGCGGTGTATTTGTTCGCGGCAGGAGGAAGTTCGTCCGCGCCTTCCGCTCAAACAGCGGCGACCGCGCCTAAGGATTCGAATTTTCTGCTTTAATCTACGTTTCGGTGGTGGTCGGCGTCAAAGCCGCCTCGCCCCTCCACGAGTTTGATTAAAAATAGCGGCAGGGATCGCCAGTCGAACTTTAAATAACAGCAAAACGTTTGTGCAAAACGCGTGTCGACGCGACGGCCGACCTACTTATGCTTCTCTTTATTGCACACGCTTAATTTTCAGCCATGGTGCATTCACACTGGCGAAACTTTCCGACCGGATGGCTGGATAAAAATATAACTTACAGCGAAAACTTACTGCAAACAATCCATACTTTTAGTTCGGCGCAAAATTGAACGGAAAGTTTTGCAGTCTCTCTTAAAGGAAACCCCTGTATATGTATTTGCCGCATAGCGTATAAAATAGAGTAAAAGAAAAACTGTGAAGAGTATTGGTACGATAATTATTCTGTACTGAAGTTAATAAGTTTTTCAGTAAATGGAGAATAGTTTTTCTTGATCTTGATGTTTGTACGTACACTGCGGATCATAAATGTTCGGATACTTATCGTATATGCTGTATTGGAATTGCTGAAAACTTGATGTAAATATCGTTTGAAGGATAGTCAAGCTCGATGGATAACGTATATGATACTATGGAGTAATAAAAGTGGTTTGGAGTATATCATTTTTACGTAAGATCACATTAGTTTCGTACAGATCAGTTGTCCTAATACTTCTGAGTGGTAGTGTGTACATCTGCAGTGTAGACACACTGCTGACGACATTTAGGGTATCATCTATTGCAGTAACTCTGCTCGTCAATATGACGTATAATCTCCAAAAAGTTTTTTGTACAAGCATAACTAGGTGTTACTAGTGCGAATATTGTGCGGAAAAGATATCAATTTCTCAAACTAAGCATCTGTTTTTTTTCTTTTGCGTGGTGGGTGCAGCAACACCAGCATTGTCAGCGATCCTCTAATTTTTCTGAGCAATTCCTTAAGGACCTAAGATTCTACCAACATTGGATTATCAATGCCACGAATCTGTTATCCTCCATTAGTGTCTTTCAATTTACCATGGGCTTTCATATTTTCCATTTAAAATATTTCGTTCCCTGGACTTATTACTCTCTAAGAAGCATCCCAACTTCTTGCTCATACAATAGTTTACCTGCAGTCAAGCATTATATCTAACACTACTTCCCCCTTAGTAACAGGTTACGGTGAATTTACAGTAGTCAGTCAGTTGTGTCCATCGTTAGAAGTAAATATTGCGAACTTCGATCCTCGTATCTATTACTTTCGAACACACTGTATCGAAGGTCCTCCACGTCTCAATAAGGCCCATTTCTGGCTTCCGAATGCAACAAAATATCTTTGTCGAAATTTGAAACTAAACCGAAGTCGAGCGCCTGCAACATCGTCAGCCAATTAACGCGGCTGGAACATCATCAAGCGGCTCTTGAATCGCTCGGTATTAGTTCGCGAAGTGTTCGCGCAGCAGATTGCGAACGGTATTTTCGGTGGGCCGCTGCATGGCTGCAGTTTAATCTTCGCCGCGCGTTATGCGGCTATTTAAGGTCAGGGCAGGCGGGGGAACGGTCTAGTGTTATTTTTAATCAAACTCCTGCAGAGCATTGCCGCGTCTCGCCGTCGCGGCGGGGTTGCAAAACCTCTGGGTCCAGTTCGAAAAGTTCGAATCCTTAGACGCGCGTATCGGTTTAACGGGCGATCGTTGTGGACTGTTTATTGCTGCATTATTAGAAAACGCGACAGGACATCGTTTGTGGCCCCCGAGAATTTCATTCTTCGACGTTCCGTTTTATTCTGAAAAGAATGAGAGAATTTCGAATCAATGGTTTTCATAAACATTCAATACATTAGGGAATATATAAGAAGGGTGTGAAGAAAATTCACATAAACGTGGGCCTAGAAATTTTTTCTCTTCGAGATACGAATACGTTTTATTTAGTTATTAGGTGTACCAACTAGTAATCCACTACCTTTTGTTATATTAAGTATTCTTGTTCTGGAAGATGTGGAATCTAAACCGTGTCAGTGGTATTTATCCTTGTTCTTCAATGTCCACCGTCATTTCTAATGAAGAAGAAGGTAGAAAGACGTTTTGAATTTGAACTAGATTACTCATTTATAAAAAATAAATTGTGGATTAATTATTGGGTACACCTAATATTTCGTTAAGAAAGTTAGCACTGGAGTTATATACCCATAAAACTGACAGAATTTCTTGTTTTACAATTACTGAACGTATAAATGTGCTTTCGTCAGATTCTGTATTAAGTTCTTCAATTTACTATACATTATACATTGTGCCATATTATGTTCTATCGTATTACACAATTTAATTTAGTATATGTTCAATACTGATACTTATAGTGTTCATGAAATATGTTAAAAATTGCTGGATTATCTCTTCTATTTCGTCATACGATATTTGGAAAATTTACACACTACAAGTAGAAGTATCGAAAATGACAGTTTCAATAGGATCTCACGGGAAGTTACATAAAATTAAAAATTAAGATGTAATTAATTTTCAAATTCCATTAGCATCAAAGTCTTTGTACCTTCCTACGTGCCTGACGGAACGCGTTAAATTTCAACGTTTCTTTGAGTTCCTTTCTTCTGCAGTTGTATGTATAATTCGAAAGCTACAATATGAAAGTAGAGTGTCGGATATCGACTAAAAGGAAGTCGAATCTTCTGGAGGCTCTAGGATGACTACTCGTTTCAAACTAGCGACAGACATGAAACCCGCCGAAGGAACTAGAGTTTCGGAATCGTAATCAAAGTAGCTTTAAAGCGTAGTTCCTCTTCCTGTTGCTTCGCGGGAACTGTGTCCCACATGACAATTGATGCTCTGCAAAGCGTACCGAGGATCGTACGGGGAATGCCATGCTTCTTAACCAGAAGGTTAAGCTAGTGTGGGAAATCATTTGGTTTTACAACGACAAATCATTCATACTTAAAATAATTGAATGAAATTCTGACGTGTATTAAAGTAGTGCGTTTGTTCTGTTCAAATCAACGATTGTTATATTAAATCGTTAGAAATGTTTTAAACAACCTTAAATTGTTAGTTTGTAAAATCTTATTTTTGTAATACACTGAAAAGATGATATGTTACGATTTGAACATTTGTTGACGAATCATTCAATGTTTAGAAAAATATTCTAAAACATATAATTGGACCCCAATTATTTGATAGTAAAATGTATTTGTATTTTCTGTGACTAAGACTTCTTTTCGTTCTAGTGATCAATAAATTAATTCTTGTAAATTTATATACTACAGGAGTAATATACTTATATTTTTCTTAATAATATATGTCTGTTCAGGTGTAACCACCTGCTACGTATATTTCATAAAATAGGAAAAGAATAGTGAGGAACTTTCTTTACTCTTTCTTTAAGGATTTGTAAATCTACGTTAGTATTTCCTAGTCAAAGAACTTATGAGTATTTAACATTACTAGTAATCAATTAGTAAAGCAAGTTTCCAAACAATTCGCTTTGCAATTATACTACATAAAGACGAATGTAAAAGATTCAGTAAATATTCCATTCGATTCAGATTCAAGCAACACTCTCAATAGTTTTTGATCATTTTTAAAATCTTATAATCAATTTTCCTTGTATGAAGTAAAGATAACGAGGCTGGTTAGAAATTTTGCGCGCCATTTTAAAGAAAAAATAATTCTTTAAAAGAGTACGTAGTTTGAATAAACCTGTAAGTAACCTATCGATTTACCGTTTCGAGGGAACTTTGTTTTAAAAAATACAGTTCCAATTTTGTTTCTCTACTTGTAGAAGTTTTCGGTAGATCGCGTGCTCGGCAAATCTAATGACAATCGACAAAAGCCCAGTGACTGTTACGCTTGATTACACGGAGAACAATTT